AAAGGAAACATTTTGTCTCAATGGAAAGAGTGAAGTATTATGGTTTGTGCCTTGATACCCAGAATGGGTAAAAATTAGTTATTACTATGTTTACCACTACAGGAAGCACTACATGGGTAAATTAAGCTTAGTGTAACCTAGTATACATTTTCGTGATGTATTTAAACAGTGTTATGCAAAAGCCTTGATTCTGGGAAGGTGATAGTCAATCTCCATGTATCCATCTGAGGATCATGGTGCAATCTATGTCTTTAATTTTTTTGCCTTGTTCCTTTTCTGCATCTCAGATGACACTGATTACAATTAAAGGGATTAGCTTCATGTGTGTGATGTAGATGAGGTTGTCAGTAATACATAACAGTTATTTCAATATTAAGTAGCAGGTATGATGTTATACTTAGATGTTATAGTCCTTCTGATAAACTGAACTTTTTCCTTTCATGTGAAAAAAGATTCTCCCACTTACCATTTCTAAAAATGTATAGAATTTTTGTAGATAATATAAAGAAATTATATACAAAATATATATTAAATGCATGTTTTCATTATAATAACCAGCAGAAGCCTGTATAAACCAAATTCAATGTGTTTCAAAGCAGTTGAGTATCAAGGTACTGTGTTTCCCTGAAAATAAGACCCGGTCTTTTCTTTTCAACCCCAAAATAAGCACCAGGTCTTATTTGGGGGGGGGGGATATCTTACCCGCTTACCTTAGCACCACCACAGCCATGCCTCCCACACCTTGACACCTGTTGTGCTGCTGGCTGAATTTTTTTGTGGCCACTTGCAGTTCTTGTGGCTTGTTGCATGGGTGCTTCTTCTCACGGTAAGAGGCTACATGGCGTGTTGTGCTGTTGCATGTGAGAGCGATATCATTGGCATGACAAGCCTTGCAGCATTCTATCATGAGTAGTGGCGGTGGCACAACAAGCGTTGTGGTGTTCTGCTGCAAATGACGGCACCAGCACAATGAGCCATGTGGCATCCTGCCATGAGAAGCTGCAGAATAATTCAGGCAGTGGCATGACAAGTGTTGGGGCGTGGGAGGCCTGACTGCAGCGATCCTAATGTAAGCAGGTGCGGGGTGTATGGGACAGCTCTACCCCCACCCTAGCTTGATTTTTATGCCTCACCCCACCTCGTACAACCAGATGGGGGCGGGGATTAACTAGGGTTTATTTTGGGGGCGGGGCTTATATTATGTGCTGGTGTGAAAAATCAGTCTAGGGGTTGTTTTCAGGGTAGGCTTATTTTCAGGTACCACTGTACTGTTATAAAGTAAACAAAGCAATGCTAGTTCATATGAAAAAATCCATATTTCCCAATGACTGCATAAAAATTAATTGGTAGGTTTTTTTTTTAATTTAAGCTATTACAGAATAAGAAATATCTGTAGAGTACATGCTATTAAGGGGCAATGTTAGTAGGCATGAATAGCTCAATGCAAATATGTCCTGACCATCACATGTATAGCATAACATTTTGACTAAATTGCTGCTGGCAGTTTTATGTTTAATGCAGGTAAAATGCAATAAATATATTTATCATTGGGTTGCATTTCTTTGATAACTGTTACATAAGATTTTTTGACAGCACCATAATGGCCAGTTTCCTCTGATATAGCTTTTATGTAGTATCTTCAGCACTGAAATCATATGAGAAAAAATATCACCAATTTTTACACTTGTTTGCTTCTGTATTTTACAAAAACTATTAGCAATACTGCATTGCCATTCCAGAAAAATCCTTACATATATTATTACCCTTTCTGTATTTAATTAGGATGGGGTGCCTAAGTTCCATAAGGCTGTTTTAGTCTTTTTGTGCCTGTCCTTGAGAAAGAGTTTCCCTTGGAGATAGATCTATATGGCTTCCATGCTGCTGGAATTTCAGAAGGCTTAAAAAACCTTGTTTGTTTTCCCAGGCCTTGAGCTGAGCTTGGAGAGATGCTCTGGGTTGTATGTGTGGGTGCCTTTGACCAAATTCTCCATTTGTTTCTTTTTAGCTTTATTCTTTTATTTTTAAAAACATATTTTGTTTTATTGCATTCTGCTCAGAATCCAATAAAATATTTTTGGAATATTTTAAAAACAAATCTGAAGTGCTGCACAGCCCTATTAACCAATTATATTGTTACAAGCAGTGTAGTAATATATGGTAGTTAGTCCTTCACCAGAGCAAAAAAAAAATGAAAATAATTGCAACAAAACATATTTATCACTGTAGGAAAAAAAGATAAAAGAATCATAGCAGCAGAGCATAAAATGCAATATATTACCAACCTGAGATTCTCCATTTTCAACATGATAATGTATATGAATTAAAATAATATTCACCAGACGTTAAAAAAGCCAAAACATGCAAACTCTGGCTTTGCTCTGCTTTCCCAATGTGCCGCCACCACTGCATTTGAGGCGCCAGCCCCGCAGGATTACCCCATTGACTGTTGCACCAGAGCAGTGCAAGAGACTCAATGGGGTGAGCCTGCAGAGCTGGTGCCTTGAACGCAGCCCCGGCAGCATGTTGGAAAAGTAGAGCAAAGCCAGAGTTTGCATGTTTTGGCTTTTTAAATGTCTGGTGAATATTATCTATCCAAAATATCTATGTATATATCTATCTATCTACCTACCTACCTATCTATCCATACATACATACATCTAAAAGGTCTGTCTGTCTGTCTTCCTACCCACTTACCTGTCTGCCTACCTACCTACCTATCTATCTACCAATATATCTATCTATCTATCCATTCATCCATCCATCCAAAAGGCCTGCCTGCCTGCCCACCTGTCTGTCTGTCTGTCTGTCTGTCTGTCTATCTATCTATCTATCTATCTATCTATCTACCTATCTAGCTAGCTATCTATCTATCTATCTACCAATATATCTGCCTGTCTGCCTGTCCCTTCCTTCCATCCCCCCCTTTCTTTGTCCCTTTTTCTTTCTTTCCCTTTTCTCTTTCTTTTCTTTTTTCTCTCCTTCTTTTTTCTCTCTCTTTTTCCCTCTCTCAGGCTCACCCCATTGACTTGGTGCACCGCTCCACTCAGACTTGCTTGGGCAGGTCCCTCCAATGCAGTGGACTCAATGGGGTGGACCTGTGGTGCCGGTACCTAAAACACGGCAGTGGCGGCACATTTGAAATGTAGAGCAAAGCCAGAGGTCGGTAATTTTTGCTGCAAAGAATCACAAAAGCTTCTGGGCTGTGCACAAGAAGGGACACACATGTCAGTGCAATTCAGCAACATAAAATAAAGAACTACAAATAAAACAAATCAACAAAAACGACAAAGCATCTCTGATTAGATTCTATTCACTACTAGAATCTAATCACAGGTGCTTTGCCAATTCTAATCCAATGACCTGCTCCAGCAGGGTTAGAAACAGGGGTGGGATTCAAATTTTTTAACAACCAGTTCTCTGGGCATGGCTAACTCAATATAACTCACATTGAGGCATGCATCTCCTCGCCTGGCCTCTCATGATTGTGGGGATGATGCAACAGTCGTAAGTGTGAAAAATGGTCATAAATCACTTTTTTCAGTGCCATTGTAATTTTGAATGGTCACTCCACACAAGCAAAGTACCAGCAAAGGAGGGGAAAAAGACTCCAAAAAGTTCCTGAGACAGGAAGTCTAGTCCTGCCAAGAATGTAATAAGGGTTAACAGAGAGGCAGTTTCTGTAGGCAACACCAGAATGTTTCCTTCCTGCCTTCCTTACAGGATTAGGCCAGTAATTTCTTCTAACAACCGGTTCTCCGAACTGCTTAGAATGTTAACAACCGATTCTAGCGAATAGGTGAAAACTGGTAGAATCCCACCCCTGGTTAGAAGGGAGTGTGTGTGTATGTGTGTGCATGGCTGTCAAAACTCCAAAAATAGGTCAAGTAGCTCTGGGGAGACCAGTCATAAATTAGAACACTTGCTAAACCAGCCATTAAGTGAGGACCACTTGTATTTGGTTTGCCAGTCACCTGGCCATGCCCACCCAGTCACATGCCCACCAAACCACATCTACCCAGCCATGTGACCACCAAGCCATGCCCAGCCAGCAAGCCACGCCAGCCATCACGTGGCCAGCAAGCCACGCCCACCCAATCATGTGTCCAGCAAGCCACACCCTCAAATTAGGCCACGACCACATAAATTTGAGTTCCACCCATGGGTGTGGGCACTGAGGATGAGTTTGTAGCACCAAGGGGGTGGTGGACTGAAAAAATTTGGGAACCACTGGTTTAGAGAATAAGTGAATGATAGTGACAGAATCTTCTGGTTTTAGATATATTTGGGTAAAGCAGATAAACAGGCCCTTGTGCCCTTTAAAGTTCAACAGCAATAAATAACATTATCTCCAATAATTGCCTGGATATAGCTGCTGCTGATAGATCTTTTGTGAAATATGTTAGAGATGTTCAATTCCTAATTTGGATTAAGAACAGCTTTTATTAGGGAAATTTGAAAAGCAGCCCCACATGCAATGAATGATAACAGCCTAGGTGGAGCTTACAAGAGCATAGATAATTTGGCTCAACTCTCCAGTTATGATCACTGTTGGCAAAGCAGCCCAATATGGATATAAGATACTTCACAGAGAAAAATCTCTTGAGTAATGATATTGGATCAATGAACAACTTAGATTGCATACCAGATTTTTCTGTGACATATAACCTCTTTTAGAATTGGTTGAACAATATTCGTTTTATGTTCCCTGTGCTACTAGAAACATTCAGCTCATTATTATCTAATGTGCCACTTAAGCTTTATGCTTTAATCACAAAATATATAGACCAAATATCAAGGTGATGTGTGGAAATATATACCCCATTAAAGTATATTATTTCTGTTTCATTTCATATATATTCATATATATTTTTTCTATTAGATTTAATGTGGCAATTTTTCTCCCTTGTTGGGACAGGTGCAGGATTCAGCTGTGTTGGATTTAGTATATGTGTCACATTGCAGAGAGCTTAGATTTCATATCATGCCTTCCTTTTTCTCAGGTTTTTCCCATTCCGCCTTTACATTTGGAATAGAGAGTCATATTAGCCAATCCAATATCAATGGAACACTAGTGCCACCTGCTGCCCTTATCTCTATACTTCAGAAAGGCCTACAGTATGTGGAAGCAGAGATAAGCATCAATGAGGCAAGTATCACCTCTTCCTTAGGTAGAAAATGCTTTACAATTAGAGCTTGATCAACCTAAGACAGTTTGCTTGAGTTGATGCAAATTTTGAAGGACAGAAGAACTAAAAAACCAGACCTCACTTATTTGTTAATGTTGGTTTAATTAAAATGGACATGCCTGTTTTTCTTTCACTGGTGAAAGCTCTAGGGCAGGGGTGTCAAACTGGTGGCCTGCAGGCCAGATGCATCACTGCAGGCCAGATGCATCACTGCAGGCCATGCCCACCTCCGCTCCGCGAATGGGAAATCATCGCAAAATGTCACATGATGGCAACCTGTGACACGTGCTCTAGGGGCTCTTTGTTCATTCTGTTCCTTTGAAAAATGAAACAGTTTTCATTATTGCAAATATTTCATGTATAAACCAATCTGAAAAGTGATTAAGTGGGGTATTCAGCTCTCTGATACAGATGTGAATGGCCAGTGAGTTTTACATCACCTAAAACCCACTTATAACACCATCTTAGTTGCATCCCTCTTTTATTAGAATTTGTTTAGCTTTAGAAGTGAAAGTGGGGGGAGGGCAGATTTATTCCACTGTTTGTTGTATTCTGGTTTATTCTTTCTTGAGTTTTTATATTTATTTTAAATTAGACATTTTTATCCAGCTTTTATCATTTTTAAAAACAACTCAAGATGATGAACATATCAAAAATTCCTCCTTCCTCCTATTTTCCTCACAATAACAATCTTGTGAGGTAGGTTAGTCTGAAAGAGAGTGATAGGCCCAAAATCACCCAGCTGACTTTCATGCCTAAAGCAGAATTAGAACTACTGTTCTGATTTCTAGCCTGGTACTTTAGCCAATAAAACCAACTGGCTCTTCTTTTTAATTTTACTTTCTACTTTTTTAGTTTCTACTTTTACTTTCCTCTACTTTTTCCATGTTTAATGTTTTTATTGTTTTCCTCCCTTATCTCTTAATCTACTGACCTGATTAACAGTCCTTTCATATTCTTCCTCAAATAATCAGAACAAAATCTGTTCTTTTTGTTATTCATTTGTTTC